ATATCCCCAAAGTGTCACCAAATGTCCCCAAATGTCCCCAAAGTGTCACCAAATGTCCCCAAATGTCCCCAAAGTGTCCCCAAGTGCCACCCCCGTGTCCCCAAAGTGTCACCAAATGTCCCCAAGTGCCACCCCCGTGTACCCAAAATGTCCCCAAATGTCCTCAAAGTGTCCCCAAGTGCCACCCCCGTGTCCCCAAAGTGTCACCAAAGTGTCACCAAATGTCCCCAAATGTCCTCAAAGTGTCCCCAAGTGTCACCCCCGTCCCCAAAGTGTCCCCAAAGTGTCACCAAATGTCCCCAAAGTGTCCCCAAGTGCCACCCCCGTCCCCAAAGTGTCCCCAAATGTCCCCAAGTGCCACCCCCGTGTCCTCAAAGTGTCCCCAAGTGCCACCCCCGTGTCCTCAAATGTCCCCAAAGTGTCCCCAAGTGCCACCCCTGTGTCCCCAAACTGTCCCCGGGTGCCACCCTGGGCCACCCCCGTGTCCCCAAGTTGTCCCCGTGTCCCTCTGGGCCACCCCTGTGTCCCCAGAATGTCCCCAAATGCCACCCTGTGTCCCCAAGTGCCACACCTGTGTCCCCAAACTGTCCCCAGGTGCCACCCCCATGTCCCCTTGTGTCACCTCCATGTCCCCCTGGGCCACCCCCATGTCCCCAGTTTGTCCTCGTGTCCCCAGGTGCCACCCCAGGTGTCCCCTCCATGTCCCCAGGTGCCACCCCCGGTGCCACCCCCGCTGTCCCCTCCCTGTCCCCTCCCTGTCCCCTCCCCCAGGGCCACTCGCGGGTGACAAAAATTCTCCTTTAGTATAAATAGAGGTGTGGGGGAGGGGCGGTGCCACCCTGGGGGTGACGGGGACAGGTGACAGGGACAGGTGACACCGACAGGTGACACCGACAGGTGACAGGGACAGGTGACACCAACAGGTGACACCGACAGGTGACAGGGACAGGTGTCCCCGGAGGGGCTCAGTAGTACGGGGGTGGCACTGCAGGTGACACAGGTGTGTCCAGGTGTGTCCAGGTGTGTCCTGGAGAGTGACACAGGTGACCCGGGTGTGTCCAGCTGTATCCAGGTGTGTCCAGGTGTCCCCAGGTGTGTCCAGGTGTATCCAGGGTTATCCCAGCTGTGTCCAGGTGTATCCAGGTGTGTCCCAGGTGTATCCCAGGTGTCCCCAGATGTGTCCCAGGTGTATCCAGGGTTATCCCAGCTGTGTCCAGGTGTGTCCAGGGGTGTCTCAGGTGTATCCAGGGGTGTCCCAGGTGTGTCCCAGGTGTATCCCAGGTGTGTCCAGGTGTCCCCAGGTGTATCCAGGGTTATCCCAGCTGTGTCCAGGTGTATCCAGGTGTCCCCAGGTGTGTCCCAGGTGTCCCCAGGTGTATCCAGGGTTATCCCAGCTGTGTCCAGGTGTCCCCAGGTGTATCCAGGGTTATCCAGGGTTATCCCAGCTGTGTCCAGGTGTATCCAGGTGTCCCCAGGTGTATCCAGGTGTGTCCCCAGGTGTGTCACACCACGGTGCCGCTCGGGGAGCCGCCGTTCTGCGAGGCCAGGCCCTGTGGGGGGAGGGGACACGGGACACGCCCCTCCCTGGTGACGTCACTGCTCCTGACACCCCAAATCCACCCAAAATCCCCCCAAATCCCCCCAAAATCCCCCCAAATCCCCTCTGAGACCCCTCCCCACACTCACAGAGACCCCAGGCCGTGCCCAGGTGCAGATCAGCCCCTCCTGGCACGCTGTCACGATACA